CCGATGGCATGAACATGCTTTGCAGCATAGTTTATTCCAAACACGGTTGCTGTTACAAAACACAGAGCTGCAGCTCTCCCGCTGCCAGCTCAACATACCAACAATGACTATCACAGGACCCAGTGCAATACTTAAGCCGGCGGGGCATGATCGCGGATGCCGTGCAGGTGCATCCGCCTTCCCTGCACATTCACATGTCGTTGTCTCCGAGCTCAGAGTACTGCTCAGCCTTTCCCATAGCTTTTCCCTTCAGCTTCCTGTTTTCCAGCATTATGTTATCTGATGGTGCCATCCAGTGGCTGATCGCTTACAAAACTGGTGACATTACATAGTTTGAAAAATCCAAAGGGAAATACATTTGCAGATGTTTTTCTGTTTTCTTTCTTTCTTTTTCTCGTTCTCTTTTTTTTTAATAGATTGAGGTTATTAAATACTGGCTACCTGCCCAGGAAACTGTCTTTGAAGTCTGAGCCAAAACATGCCAGCTGCCATCTTTGTAATTCGCTATTCAAAGCCAAGGTTACAAAGTTATTTTGGGGAAAAGAAAGAATTTTGGTACACAAAGAAAGAAAGAAAGAAAGAAAGAAAGAAAGAAAGAAAGAAAGAAAGACAAAAAAACAATAATATCAGTTGCTGCTGTCTGTTATTCTTTGCGTATCATGTCAGTAATATGGATGCTGCTGTCTTTTACCAGGCAGCTTCACAGGAAGAGCTCTTAGAGCACAGCAGTGTAATGGGCTTATAATACACAGTTGTGGATAATTGTGTAGAGTCTCTATATGGTTCATGGGCATGTCTCTGAGTGAGGCTGCTATTTAATGTGCTATGATGTGGAAAGCCCACTGTGAGAGAGCCACTAATGGTGCGTTTGCTTGTGTATTTGTGTGCACACTATGTGAGTTTGCCTCTGAATTAAAGTTTTTAGTAGTTTCACTTCTAGTTGTTTATCTTAACAGAATTGTGTGTGTGTGTGTGTGTGTGTGTGTGTGTGTGTGTGTGTGTGTGTGTGTGTGTGTGTGTGTGTGTGTGTGTGTGTGTGTGTGTGTGTGTGTGTGTGTGCCTGAAAGGCTCCAACAGTGAAACAGTGTAATCAGTTTTCTATATGAGACCTAAAATTTGAATCACGAAGCATGTTGGCTCCACTGGTTGAACTTGTAATCAGGGTTTAATTAGAAGCAAATATAAATAAGAATTTCGCCTGGAGCTTGTTTAAGGTCGATGACTACAATTATGGATTGGTGCAGTTTAAGCTGTGACAAATACTGAAAAGAGCAATATCTGATGTAGACCTTGTTTCCTATTAATCTGATTTATTTCAACAAGTGCAGCTGAGAAATTTCCTGCTTCTCTTTGTTAAAACTGTTTAGCTGGATTTGACAAGGCATTTTAAAAAGGTTTGTGTTTAATGACTCACGCCCCAGTTTGGGCAGTAAGCACCAGAGTCTCTGTTGTAATCTTTACTGCTTTTTGAGGGAATGGAAAACATGAATCTGATTGCATGATTTTGGGGATTAAAACCTGATTATTTCTTTTTGTTTGTTTACATTTTTTTTTAGCAATTGTTTAAATAACCATATGTTTTGCTGGTAAATGAATTGTTTAAGTAACAAAAAACAAGCTTGGATACTGACCAGAATAGTCACAGGAGGCCCTTGTAAATATAGCTGTCATGTTTTTGGACAGAGAATAACTGTGTTTAAGTGTTGAAAGAGGTCATCGGAGAGTATTTATATGTCGGCTGCAGTAACATAGATTTGGATGAATGTGTCTCAGCCACATTACAAGGAAAAACAAACACAGACAGCGTTTCCTCGATACCTTGGATTTGGGAAGGGCCTGCTGGCTCTCTCCCTCTCTTATTGTGCCAGATCAGCGGGGCCTCGAGATGAATCATTAATGACCGGTTCCAACGGCTTAATGGCCTCTAATGTTCTGTAATGATCTCCCGTCAACGCCATGTACGCGGCCTTAATGGATCCAATGCCGTGGAGAATTGTCTGGTTTGAACTTCCATAATTCGCCCTGTTTTCGACGAGCGGCGCACAACAGGAAGTGCAAAAAGCCAGGAGCAAAAGGCTCCAGAGCTCCGCGGGCGCAGCATGACTTTCCCTCTCCGCCGATCCACTTCAGGTAAGATGAGAAAGGACAAAGTTAGCTAGAAAAAGGAGCCACATCTGTGCCTAAATGTCACCAATATGTTCTGGTAATAAGATGTGCAAACGAGACGCGCTAAACTAAGTTCAAACAGCGCAACTCAGGCGCCGGACGTGTTTGAAGTGGCTTCTGAATTACGAATGTGAATTGTGGACCTTAGAATATTTAAAATGCTTAACTTAATGTTGATAATTTTCTATTTAAAAAGTTTAACGTGTTTTTTTGTTTGTTTGTTTTGTTTTTAAATAAAATGGGTTTAAAGATGAAGCGCTGTCCGTGGTGCTGAAAACAAGGCAGGACGCGCCCTTCTGTTGGGAGGACAGCTGGACTTCAGCACACCTTAGCAACGCGCTGGCTCCTTAAAACACATTCACAATGAATCGCCTCGGCTCTGAGTTTATTTCACGGGCTTAACTTAAAGAAAAGAAAAAACACAACATGAAACTCAACAGAGAAACATTCTGAGTGAGTTTTGGGAGTTTAGTTAATGAATTCTATTATAAGTTTGCAACCAGTCCGTTAAGGCACAGCGAAGACTCGGATAATCCCTTTAGTGTAGAATCGGCCTGCAGTGCAGTTTCTTACACGGTCTCCTCCACTAAAACCACTTTGCATCCAAAGTTTTACGTTAAATAAAATATTCCAAGCGCGACTCAAACAACGCATTGATGGATTAAATGCGCAAACAAATTCCGGGTCTGAGCATTTCACTGAAGCTTTTGGCCTCGTAATGTCGTGGCGGCCAGTCGCAAAGAATTTAAAGTGTTGAATTTTGTACCACAAGCTGTGAATGTTGTTGTGCGTGGCTGATTTCACTATTTCCGGCTCTTGTGTGGTTAGACTGAGTTTCTCACAGTTTTTAAAAAAATCTTTTTAAAGTTTAGGCTGCTGTTTTTGTTTTAAGTATTTTTCTTTTTTCCAACTTTTTTTTAATGTATTCAGTTCTTAAACTGCCAATTGGTGGCGCTAATGAACTCCAAGCAAAGCTTAAAGACCTTCACTTCCTTATCATAGAGTACATAATACTCACATTCTTCAGACTGTTTGTCTCCATTTCAGACATCACTGTGTCATTTCTAGCTACACCTCAAATAGATGTTAATTATGGATAGCCATTTATTTATTTTTAAATCTTTGTACCTTGTCTCTTTTTTCATTGCTTTTCTGTTGGTTGATTTTATTGATTTGCTTGTTCTCTGTAAAGATGAAATGAGTTATCGTGATGGCTGAAGGCTGTGTTAATGTTCCTCAGGATCACTTTATATCTGATGTTTTTTACGTGGCTCTTATTTTGTGTGGCTCAAGCTTTTAGAGGCCTGTGGTTGGGTTTAAAGCAGTGAGCTCATAAAAGAAACATGAATAACTAGATTTAGCTTTCAGTCACTTCTTTGCTCCAGCTGTTTTCCTTCATGTGATTGATGTTTTAGTTGACTTTACCGGTTAGTTATGAAAGATTTTTGAGTGTTGTCTCAAAGAGCGTGCAAAGTAAAACTATATTTATCTGTGCATGTTTACAAGAGTCCTTACCTAACCAGAAGGCCATCGGTGGTACTTCAACTTCCTCGGTCAGCGGCAGGGTAAATGCTCCACTTTAGCAGTGTGGAGACCTCAGTGTCTGTCCACGGTCCATCACGTTCTCCAGCTGTCTTATCCTCACAGTGGGTTACAGCTCACTGGGTTTGGATCCTCTTCATTCGTGTAGTTTACTGCTCACCACATCCTCTTACTCCCCCAGCCATCGATCTCTCCCGCTGGAGAACAGCATGCATCGACTCTGCCCGCTGTTCAGCGGCTGTTGCCACATGCAGGTCGACCTTCGTCTGCCGGCTGTGTGTCCACCGCCTCCTCTTCCTCAGTACCAGTTGGAATTAGCAGTCACCATCCGCCACTGCAGCTGTTTTTGTCTCTGACAACTGTGCATCTGTTTTCCTGTGGGGGCTGCCTGTGGCCAGCCGACATGCACCGAGTGGCTGATTGCTGCTGCCTAGTGTGTGTGTGTGTGTGTGTGCACCTCTGCTCTGGTGCAAATGCAAAAAGGGAACATCTAGAGAACGACACAGCTCGCAGAGACACAAGTGCCGCCGTCTTTTTCACCTCCTTCTTGCATGCTGCAGCCTTTTCAGCAGTGGTGAACCTCTGCACCAAAATATTAGAGCCCCTCCTTTCTCTACCCCCCTTCTGATTTCTTCCCCTCATGCACACTTGCTGGGTCTTTCTCTCACTCTCTCTCCCACCCTCTTCCTTCATTGTCCCTTCACTTCATTTCTCTTATTTCATTATCATGTAGTTCCCCCTCATATACGTCATTTTTCCTGATGTGTGGAATAGTCTTGCACTTTCTTCTCCTGTCTTCTACTGGATTTATTTTCCCCTCCTTTTTCATTCATCATTCTCTTTTCCAATCCATTTGCAGGTTATTTTCTACAAGCGTCTCCCTCTCTCTCTGCATCGCTCTCTCTTTCTCTCTCCAACACACTCAGTATCTCATTTTCTCTCTTCCGCCCACCCCCTCTTTCATTATTCCTCCTCTCATTCATTCACCTGTCTGTCTCCTCTCTTGTTTCATTGTTTATTCTCCCACCTCCCATTTTATCCTCTCCTTCTGTCTCTCTCAGTCCGCCTATCACACATCAGCATATTTAGTGTATCATGTAAATATCATGCCACGTGGGGGTACAGGGGCTACAGGTGCCCTATGAGAAAGCACTGCCCAACCCCCCCCCCCCCCCCCCCCCACCCCCACCCCCACCCCCCCCCACACACACACACCGTCCAGCCCCCACCAGTCTCATCTGACACCCCCTCTCCTCACACACACACACACTGCACGGACACGCATACACACACACCCGCTCCACCTCCCCTTCCTCACTCTTCTTCCTCGCGGCGGGCAGGGCTGCAGCAGTTTTATGAACGACACGGCTGCACCATGATCCCTTTCCCACTGAGCCAGCCCCGAGCTGTTTCATTGACAAACATCCCAGTTGCTGCATTTCTGTCACGGACAGCGTCAAGAAGAGGAGCATCGCCGGGGGAACGGTGCAGAGCGGCAGCAGCAGCAGAAGAAGAAGAAGGAGAAGAGGAGGCAGTAGCAGCTGCAGCGATAGTCAACAATCCCCGGTGTCGTTCACGCCAGCTTACACTCTGTTGATTTGCCACTCGGACCTGGAGAATCTCACGCGCCGTCGTTCTCCGTCCACGCTCTCTCTCTCTCTCGGGACACTCGGAGGAATCACCAGAGGGGGGAATCAGAGCGCTCTTTGCCACTCAGACCCCTTGCGGGGATGTGAGGCGGCGTCGTTAGCGCTCAGTCACTGGCACGGTGCTGGATCTAACGACTTCCATGAAGCGCCGGGACGCACCGATGGAGGATTCTGGACGCTTTTTAAAATCACGGAGACTGCATCGGTCGGTGTGTGATGCGAACTGAGCCGTGGGTGGTGTAGACCCCCACCCCTCAACCCCTCTCCCCGCGCTCCACACACCCCGACCGCCTCGTCCGCGATCGCCCTCTCCAACCCAGGACGCGCAGCCTTGTTTCACTCCACCGGGGAAACATGTCCCGGGCAGCGGCTATCGCCAGCTCCCTGATCCGCCAGAAGCGACAGGCGAGGGAGCGGGAGAAGGCAAACGCATGCCGCGGAAGCGGCAGCCCGAGCAACAGCAAAGGCGCAAACGAGAAACCGAGCAAACTGAACGTGTTTTCGCGTGTCAAGTTGTTTGGCTCGAGGAAGAAACGGAAGAGAAGGCGACCACCAGGTCTGTGAGGAGGGGGGGTGGGGACAGTCGGATAGCCGGCGGGTAGCATCACCACCTCGTCCATCTTCACCATCACCTTCAGCATCATCGCCATCCTCATCTCTGCCACCATTCAGCATTTTTTTTTTCTCATCACTAAGGCAGGTTCTTCATCACTTCATCACTCCTCACTCTGAGGACAGTGTCACAATCCTGTTGCATGAACCCACAAACGTCTCACATGAGTAACTTTATATTGTCCCACAGCAAAGTGTTGAAAAGCACAACCCTAAGTGATCCTACTCATGATACATGTGTCAATTATTAGCTGATTTATTTATTTATTTATTTTTAAAAAGCCATCTTTTTATGAGTTCCACAATGTTTAGTGGAACTGCCACGGATCGATACTGGTGGTCAGGGCCCTCAAGCATCAGGGCCTCTGACACTTCTGGCTTCCTGGAGGCTGCTGGATTTGATGCATGTGATCACATGACAGCAGTAAGAAAAGAATGCACTTAATGTTTCTGTTTTCCTCTTAGAGCCCCAGTTAAAGGGCATTGTGACCAGGCTTTCCAGTCGCCAGGGCTTCCAGCTGCAGATGCAGCCTGATGGCACCATTGATGGAACCAAGGATGAAGACAGCACCTATGGTGAGGCTGGCTTTAACTAGATTTGTTGTGTGTGTGTGTATTTTACCCAACTCAATCATTTTGACCTAGGTTAACTAGGTAACCTAGAACTAGGTTATTTAGATTATTTATACTTTAACATGATTTATAAATAAAAGCAAAGCACAGGCTGAAACTGACTTTCTTCAGTGCAGATCTATATTACTTCTCGCTACAACAGAATGTTGCAACATGTTACTGCTTTAAGGGTCGATTTAATTTAATTACCACATCCCTATTGTTGAGTTTCATCTTGTGGAAATCTGTTTACTGCAGTGACTTTAATTCAGTCAGTCACTCAACAACAAGTCAATAATTAGCAAATGTCAAGTGGTGACACTGCAGTCTTTCTATATGAAATGCTTCCTGGTTAAAATCATTGATCAAATGTCTGCACAACATACAGTGCACGTTCAAATCCTTAGCATTCAGAAAGCTACTACACCAAATCAGACAACAGATTCATTTTTACCCACTCCATTTCATTCTCTCCATCACACATGCGCGCACACACACACACACACACACACACACACACACACACACACACACACACACACACACACACAGTGCAATGTTTGATTGATACGGCTAATTCAATTCTGTTGTTGTGGTTCAGACTGCAATCACTCTCCTTATGCACAGTTGGTGTTGCCAGCATCTCACATTAATCTCTGCTACTTCTCAGGCCACCAACTGTTGTCTGCATGCAGAACGACTACAGAGGAATCACACTCTTTAATGAGATGATTACATGGTGTATACATCATGTAAACGCCTACCCACATTAAATCAGTCACCCGTAAATGCGTTTGAATACATAATCCCCGTAAACCACGTCTTCATATATTATGCACAGTTATTGTAAAGAACAGTATTGACTAAAAATGATGATGATTAAACAAGGGTCCTGACTCACAGAGCTATGGTTCGGTCTAATCTTTACGCTGATATGTTGTTACCAGCGTGGAGCCTTTAAGTGCTCATCCAGTTTGGCTGGAAATGCATTCAAATGAAATCTGACAGTCTGCGATTTAATGTCACATTCGCTGTAATGTGTCGAAGAGCCCAGACAGCTTAGTTTTACTCGGGTAGCTTATGCTTATAAATCATGCTGTAAAAATTCACAAACAGACAGAGCTCATTGAATTTGTGGCGTTAAAGAAGCTCGGGAATGCACTGTTTACTCTGCATGCTCAAAACATTCGGCGACGGAGGACCACTTCTCCAGCAAATCGTCAAACATTTCCTGATTGCAGCTTCTTAACCGCAAGATTTGCCGCTTTTCTTCCGATTCACATCGGTGTAAAGTGAATATATTTCGAGGGCTTTTGGAGTGTTAATCAAACAGAAATTTGAAGGCATCGCCTTCTGTGTGGGGAAAACTGTAATGGGTACTTTTAACTACCATCTGACATTTTATAGACTAAATGAGTGATTGAGTAGAAAAAATAGCTGAAAGTGATCATTAAGTGCAGCTCTAGCAGGAACATTTTTCATTTGTATGACAGATGAAATTGCGCTGATTACTGGCTCTCTGGCTTTTCTGTTGAAGCATGTCCTTGCACTATCAAATGTTTACCAAAACTTGCTCTGCTGCTCGCCTTTTGATAATTTTATCCCACGCTTAATACCAGGAGCTAAATTGTAAGCGTAGTTCAGCCTCCTCAGCGCCCCACCTTCTAAAATAGCTTCTCTGTGGCAAAATGAAGGTGTCATCATGCCATTGATATTGATGAGTACTTTCCTCTGTTTCCCTCTGTGTTCGCTGTGTGAATGCTTGTTTGATTGCTTTGTGTTGTGCGCGTGGCTTTGCGTGTGCATTTGCAGCTGTGTTCAACCTGATCCCAGTGGGGCTTCGTGTGGTGGCCATCCAGGGTGTCCAGACCAAACTCTACCTGGCAATGAACAACGAAGGCTTTCTCTACACCTCTGTAGGTCACCACACACACACACACACACACACACACACACACACACACACACACACACACACACACACACACCATCACAACCAGCGTCATTAATGCTACAGACTCAAACCTGCTCTTTGGGTCAGGTTGAGTAATGAAGCAGAAGCTTTCACCGTGAGCAGACTCATTGTCATCACATCATCACATCAATACTTTAACTACAGTGTTGCTTTGTGAGTCAGCTGCCACGGGGTGTTATAATCCAGTGTCTGAGCCTCCCTTATCTGTCTCCTGATATTGTGGCTTCTCAGGATTGATTTCAGATCATCCCCCAGCCTCCTTTTGTTTATCTCCCTTCAGTGATTCTGTGATAGGAAGATTACTTTGTGTCTGTTTACACACACAGCTCCCAAAATTTGTTTTCATGTCTTTTCCCACTCAAAACACACGTACACCCCCCCCTCCTCCTCTCCAACGCTACTGTGCCTACATTTTCTCAGACAGGTCAGAAGGTAGTGCTGGCTGCAGTGCAGTGCATTAAGTGCCTCACTTTAGCTGCACAGCTCTGATGGTGGGTGGTGTGGAAGCAATAACAACAACAGAATCAACAAAAATAACAGCAATCTGAACAAAACTGTGAGACCAGCAGATAGAAAACTAACAAAGAGGAAATAGAAGAATGGCACAGACCCCGATGTAATAAGAGCCACGCTGCTACGCCTGTGCAGACACGTATACCGCCACAATATCTGGTCCATCATGTTGTTATTGTGAGGGCTTCAGTCACAGCACTGATATCGCTCGTTCCATCTTCTCACCTAATATTAAATGCAGAATACAGCCGCGCAATATTTCTGTGCCCGGGTCACATTTCTTTATGTTTTCCTGCTTAATCTATTTCAAGATCATGCATGCTGAAACTTCATCAAAATTTACTTAAGATTAATGGATATCGAAGAGAAACAGCTTTCTCTCTGGGCACCACCGTTCTCTCAGTGGGCTGGTTGGTATTCAAGGGAGTAGCCGGTTGCTATGGAGACGCAGGAATAAGGAAATGCAAATGTCAGCTGTCCTAAGTTGGTGCAGTTTGTTCTCGGAGGATACAGCCTGGCCGAGATAATGATTCAAAGAGCAGACCAGCTGATGGATGAATACACTGATGACTATATGGTGGAATGACTGAACGCTTTTTAATGGAGTCGCCGCCAGCAGCTAACACTCCACTCTCGCCACGTTTGCTTTATCACCTTCTCGTCTTCTTTCGTGTAGGATTTGTTCTCATTTCTATCACATTTTTCTCACAGGAGCATTTTACCCCGGAGTGTAAATTCAAGGAGTCGGTGTTCGAGAACTACTATGTCACCTACTCCTCCATGCTCTACCGGCAGCAGGCATCGGGCCGGGCTTGGTACCTGGGGCTTAACAAAGAGGGTGGAATCATGAAGGGGAATCATGTCAAGAAGAACAAGCCTGCTGCACACTTCATACCGAAGCCACTCAAAGGTAGGACTGATAGCCTTACTGATTTAAATACCAACTTAATAACTCAGAACACGTAAAAGTTTAAATGTAAAATGAAGCGTTTATTCTGAAATTCCTGTCGCATGTTTAAAAAAACCCAAGAAAACATCAAAGACTGTTTGCTTGTTGTTGCTTCACTTGGATTTTCGTCATCATTTTGCATCATTAAAAGGATGTCTTTGCATTCACCTTCGCATTTCTCTCAGCTCAAAAGTCAGACCCTACACATCTTTTTATAGTCAAAACTTTAAATAAGAAGCTCAGCATGTGCACAAGTACGAGTTCAAGGCTTACTGTAGGTTTCAAACTGAGAAGAGAAAAGCTGTGTTTAAGAGACGCAGCCAATCAGAAGAAAGCTGGCTTAAAGGGAGGGTGGTCTTCCTGGGTGAGGGGTGGTTTGTTTCAGATAGTGGATGCAGAAAGGCCTATCATAAGATAAACAAGAATGTCTTTGAACTGTAAATCATGCAGAGGTACTCAAGTAGAGTCCAAGAATGAAAAACATGAGTCTGGAAATGAGCAGAGTAGGCCTGCTTTCCAATGAAACTTGCAGTATTTACATATTCATATATTCTGAGTTTGTCAGTGAGGGAGGAAAGAAGTTAAATTAAGATACGTGTTGAAAAAGAAAATCGTTTTAAGAAAAAAAATAGAGTAGCAATTTTTTTTAAGTTTAAAACATGTCCAGAGGGGCTGTTTAAATATTAATGACTAAATATGCAGCGATTGGTGTTAACACTGGGAAAAAGCTATAGATGAGCTTATAACCCCCGTGTGTTCATGTAGAACAAAATAGACAGCTAATTGTGAAAATGGTTTTGAGCACCTCGGGGTGAGTTTGGCAGCTTAGTGAAAACAAAAGCAGAATCTCAGCGAACCTATAGCACTCGCTATTAAAGTGAGTCATGCTCATAAATGATGAAGTATAAAACTGTGCAGGTACCATTTACACCAGCAAAGCAAACACGGTGTGTCCGTTACCCCTGACCCTCGCAATTTCAGGGCTCTAGAAACTATGGCTGTGATGTATTACGTCACAAGTATATGTTAGGTTAAACAAATGAAGTTGTGATAGCATCTAAGAGAGCAAACTGTACTAAGGCTTCATTGATTAAGAGCTTGGGGCCGCTCTTGGAAAGCTTTCTCCCCTATAGAAGATTTAGGATTCCAAAAATTCAGAGGACCCCTGACCTATGGAAAATATCTGCCTTCCTGGACTAACTTAGAACCCATCTGCTATTTGCACTCTTTGCTTGAAGGTCTTATCGTCTTTAAAACTGATTTTGTGTCTTGTTAGTTTATAAAAGATTTAACTGGATTCTATACAAGGAAGGTCATTGTAGATGGTAATATATAGAAGCTTTACAGATTTACAGGCTAGAGTGAAAGCACACTGAAAAGAATGCCAGCGCCAGAAGATAAACATTGAAATGTAAATGCAGATTGGGTACTCATGAATAAAAACAATAATTGAGTCTTAAATGGCATAAAAGGAAAGTTTATGCCCAAATACTCTCGAGGAGGGGGAAAACATCAATAATTACATTCCTGGCCACCAGATATGATAGTGTTAGGCGACCCAATTCTCGGGTTTGATTTACCAGAAAAACAAGAAAATACCAGGAAAATAGGAAAAGAGGGAATAATCAATATTTCTGCATAGCAAGGTGATAATGGATCCACAGAGATTGGTTATCTGACTCTGCTGCAGCATTTCTGACCATTTAGTATCACCACTTCTGGATGCATTAGATAGCTGTTTCCATTGAAAGAGCAGTAAAATGCACTGTACACCATCTGACCGGCAGCGAACAGCAGATACAAAAAGTTAGCTGAAGAGACACATATTTCCCCGGAGACTTAGCGGAGGGCAAAACAAAGCTGAAAAGGGAATGAATATTGGAGTTACATTCATCAAACGGACATGAACACGACTCCATATAACGCTGCTAATGCAGCTAATGGATGTGTTCAGTGTGTGGCAACTGTTTGGTAACAGGCTTCCAGCCTAAAGGCTAATATGTCAGTGACCAGAAGCCATCAGGCATTATATGAAAGTGAGGAAAAAGGAAAAAAAAAACCCTGAACTCTTAGTTAACTGTTTATTTTTTTTTGCCAGTTATTGAAATTAAGATTAGAATTTACCCATTTATGGAGTGTTACAGTCTTTAAATTTCTCTCTGATGATAAAATAGCGTCTTAAAATCAGAATTAATTAGTCTGTGGAAACTGAATCTCCCAGGTGCAGAGGAACTGACTGAACAAAGCTGTGCAGACTACACCCATGTGACAAAGACCAGTGGCAATAACTGAATTAATGATTCTTGTCTTGTCTTGTCTTGTGTGTCTGTCTGCATGTGTGTGTGTGGGGGGGTGTAGTGGCCATGTACAGGGAGCCCTCCCTCCATGACTTGACAGAACTCTCCCGTTCAGGCAGCGGCACACCGACCAAGAGCCGCAGCGCTTCGGCCCTACTTAATGGCGGCGGGAAGACACCCAGCAACAACGACTTATCCTAGCCCCCCGACCCCTCACACCGTACCACACATACACATGCACATACACATGCACACTCAGACACACTCCCATGCAGACGCACACATACACACACAGATCTCAGGCCGACATGCCCACACATCAGACTGGTGAGGGGTGGGAGAAAAAGAAGGAGGACGGGGACGTGTTCTTCCACTAAACGGAGCCCACTGTGACTGACTGTGATGTAAATAAATCAAGGACAATCAATCCGTCTGGCTCTGCTGCCCCTGGTGTGCAGAGGGACGGGACCTGCGACTCTCTTCCCTCGGACGGGTCCTCCTGCTGTATCGTGAACAGTTGGATCAAGCGAGGGAGCGATAGAGAAGAGGGGACAGAGGAAGTCAGACAGTCAGTCACGCAGTCAGATAAACAGACTGTTACAGAGAACCAAAGAGTACAAGTATTAACCCACTAGGTTATTACTACGAAATGGCACGCGGCTGGAAAGTTACAGGGAGTTACAATGGAAGGAAGTCTTTATCTAATCTACCGTACGCTATGTTTACACAGAGCTCATGGGTTTAAGTCATATTTTTAAAACTGACAAACATATTCCTTGTACACTTATAAGGACTTATCATTTGTTTGCATGCAGGTGTGCCTGTGCATGTGTGAGAGAGAGCGAGAGAGAGAGATTGAGTACATGCTGTGCTTGCGATAGGCGTGCTGTGTGTGTGTGTTTGTGTGGGAGAGAAAGTGTGTGTGTGTGTGTGTGTGTGTGTGTGTGTGTGTGTGTGTGTGTGTGTGTGTGTGTGTGTGTGTGCACGCATGTGTCTTGAGGGTGGGGGTTGGGATTTTACCTTTTTAAGATCTGTTGTATATTGGACAAACCCCCCGAGGGCTTGAGCAGGTTACTGTAAGGTTTACTGTATATGCTTCCATGCTTACTTCTTACAAGCAATGCTGTCGTTTCTCTTTCCGTTCGTCGTTGTTGTCCCTTGCCGTTTGTTTGTTTGTTGTTGCATGGAAGCTTGTGGACCTCTGCTCAGTAGCAGCATGCTGAAGGTCCTTTTTCTTTTCCCCCCTCTCTCTGGTCTTACGTGTTCCTGACCATAAGAGAACACTAGTGAGCCAATAGTGTGATACCAGAACACTAGTGAACTAATGTGAGGGTGTTAGAACACTACTGGACCAATAGTATTGCACCAGAACACGGGCGGACCAATGGTGTTGGACCAGAACTTTGGTGAACAGCACAGATTAACTTAATATTTTGGTTCCTGCTGTGGACAAACTAGAAATGCACTAAATAAACTCTTTCTAAGGAAGTGAACTGTCTCCCTTGTGTATTTATTCAAGCATTTTGCACCTGGCTGATGTCATGTCTGTTTCAAATGTTTGAAGTCTGGCTTATAATATTTGAATTTTATCAACAGTCAAGGCAGCGCTCACATTTCTTTTTCTTATTACATAAGACATATTTTTATTCTATTGCTCCAGTGGGCTGCTGATAGTTTTGGTTTCATGCCCAGCGCCGACGGTTTTACCACCACCAAAGGCGGAAGATGAATTAGTCCCTATGAAAACGTGTTGATAGTGGCTTGTGTGGATTACCGAGTGTAACAGTGCTGATTTGCTAGCACTCCATAACGGGGGTCTGTGAATACAACCTCGCGGATTAATGTAAGACTTCAGGCATGAAAAATAATAATTAATGTAAAACCTCACCAACTAATCGTGGTAAAAGCTCATTAAATAATTATGCAAACCCTCATGAATTATCAGGAGTACATAAATAAAACAGCTCTTGCATGAAGCGGGGCGTTAATTAATGCCACATGTATGTCATTCATCGTGAATTAGGATATATTAATCATGTTCATAGTCGTCTGCAGTTTACGGGGTGGGCTCTAAAACAAAATTTGCACATGTTTATTATGTTTAATTCCAGATGTTGCAGTCATGATGAGTTAACCATGGCTCTTCATGTTTTTGCTTGGTATTATAAAGTGGTGACCTGCTCCTTCATTAACACTGTTAAATGCTAAATGATGAATAATGGTGTAAAATCGAGTGTACTCATTTATAGAAAGGAGTGGCAATGCTAAATGCTTACAGAAGAAGCACAGCATATTTAATTTTGACATATGAATGAAGGGAAATGACTCTTAATAAAGTAAAATATTTATTTTACATTGTCTCAACTTTGTAGTAATTTACAATGGATAATACAGTCATGGTAAAAAAAAAGTGCAGCCTCTTTTCAATTCTAATGTTTTGCATATCAAATAATAAAAATCATCTGGTCCTTGGCAGATCTTATAAATATACAAAAGAGTGTGTCATTATTTATTTAACGAAGATTAAGCCAAAACAAAAGCAATGTGTGAAAGCTACCACCTTTACTGGTTCCACAGGGATTAAGATGGTAAGAAGTAGATGCTGCTAATCAAAAACACTTGATTGATACTGATAACCAACCAAGTGTGAGAACATCTATAAAAGCAAGTTTTGGCAGTTTGCTGGTCTGGAGCATTCACACGACGCCAATGAGGAACGACATCAGCACTGATTGTAGAAAAGCAATTGTTGCCGCCAATCAGTTTGGCAGATTTTCCAATTTGCCCTTCCAAAGTGTAAACAATTGAGACAGTGGCCGATGTTCCCAGAAGTGGACTACCCAGCAAATAAATACAATTAGAAAAAGGCTGAATAAGTTTATTCTTTTTCTGGAAGGGTTTTTAGGAGAAAGCCTCTTCTCTTTAAAATCAACATAGTAGCACGTCTTAGGTTTGCAAAGCTGTTTCTGAACAAACCACAAGACGTCTGGAACGATGTTCTTTGGGCATATGGACAAAAAACAACCACGGAATATCAGCACAAACTCCTCGTACTGACTGCCAAGCACAGTGACCTCAACCCGACTGCTACCCTCAAACAACTGAAACAACGCTGTAAAGAAAAGCGGGCAAAAATTCTCCCACAAAGATGTGAGAGACTGATGAAGTCATACAAATGATTATTTCAAGGTACTTCAAATTATAGCTGATAAAAGTGGTTCTACTAGCTTAAGAATCATGGGTGTGCTTAAATAAATAATGTATTATGCATTGCTTTTCTTCATCTGAGGTTGTATTAACTTAATCTTAAGAACTGGTGAAGACCAGATCAATATATTTAGTTATGCCCTGATCAAATGATGTAAAACAAAGAATCGGCAGAGGGTGCACTCTCTTTTTACCGTGACTGTATGTTTGATACAGATATTAAAAACACGCAAACCACTTTATCTGAAGGCTCAAAGAAGCCATGCTTGTTATTCAGACATTTGGAGTTTAACAGAGCACGTGAATGATGATCGAAAACCGCATGGTGCTGCACTGAACATATGCATAAAACACTTAAGTTAATCACTGTAGGATCCAAACAGGATTCTGGATAAAGTGAATTTGTGTTTTTCATGCATGAAAACGTTTTTTATGAGTTGTACCATGAACAGAAATGACATTTATTGCCTTATCTAGCAGACGAAGAGAAAGAATTATAACGCTGTTTTATTCACACTCACCTAACGTTCAACTCCAACCCATAAGCCTTTAAACACTTTCTCACTGTCTCACAATCAGTGAGGTCAGCTACAGTATTGGGCTCCGTAAACTGTCCATGGAGACCTCAACAACATGCAAGCTGGAGGAGCTTGGCATTGAACCACTGCCCTCTCACATAGTAGCTTTGACTGTAGTTATCTTCACATTAAGGAGCTCCTTGAGCTCTTATAAGAGAGGAAAAAACCTTAAGTATTGACTTATTTTAATGTTGAACTTAGCATAATTAACTTCAACTTGCCTTTGGAAGCAAAACAAGAACATTAAAGCAAAAGTGGCATTTTATTTGACCACTAGGTGGTGCTTCTATTTCAGAGCTCTGTTGCTATTATTGGTAACTCATCTTGGGGGTGGATGAGAGGCAGCAATAAAAGAAACTCTGGTAAAGAATCTTAAAAGTCTAAAGAAATGAGGGAAAATAGACACGGGGGACATAAAATAAACAGTCCCAAACACAAATATTCTTTATAAAATTATTTACTCCAACATTTGCGTGTGTTCGTTTCTCAGTGAAGGGCAGGTAAAGCAGACACAGGCATTTATCTTCAAATGATTCAGCTGAGAGGGGCCGAGGACACATTTATGCAATCACAAAATACAACAAGATAAAGTGCAAAAGTCAAATGTGAAAAATAAGAGTCATATAAAGGTTAAAACCAATTGTTTCACATTGCAACAACAAACATTTATTCATTGCTTTTAGGAACAGTGTCTACTCGATATTTTTTATTAAACGTATAAATACACAATTAAGATATGAGATTCTGTACTTCTCTTACTAATAATGATAATTTAAGATTATAACTAAAAAAATTTCTTTAACCAGGTTTTTCATTTTTCATTTCCAAGTATCAAGTATAAAAATAATACAAACCAGTGGGTGTAGCTAAAACGTCTTGCCTGTAACGCTGAACTCACAGTGTTGAAGAACTACACTCTCCCTTTGCTACGCTTTCCTTTTTTTTTTTTAAACTTTCTGCAGCCCTGTGCAAATGTAAACACGCATGCAAACTCACACCAACACGTACACATCACGTTCATAGTGATCCACATTAACACGGTACTGATGTATCAGCTGAGCATGTCGTATTTACAGTAGCTGGTGCAGCATCACGCTGCCTGTACTTTTCCTTTAGATGAAATGAGAGCGCAATGCCTCCGAGTCCATCCTTTCTCTCTTCAGTGCCAGTTTTCTTGCTCTTCTTGCGTTTTCCTTTCAAACGTCCTCGTCTCCATCTGTCGATCTGTTTATGATCACTCTATGTCCCCTTCTTTGACTCCCACTCCTGGAAACAGTAAAACGGGAGCATGTGAGTCAAGCAGTTTTTGGTCCTCGCACACACAAACACACGCGCACTCTACCTTTGCCTTCTGCATCACATTCCCCTTGGAGGAGGCGTAAAGAGACGGAGGCCGCTTTCGAAGCTCAGATGCCGCGTTGACAGGCACAGTCTCCATGTAAACCTTTTCAACCTTACTGCCCTGCGCCTACGCACGAACACACAGGCAACCCCCCCAAAAAACAGTAAAAGTTTGATTTCACTTATTTGAGCCCAGTGATGTTACTTTAAAAACAACACAAGAAGACCAAAAGTTCTTCCAGTCAAAAGCAGATGGATTACTAAAACAAGCATACAAGAACACAGAAAGAATGAAGAGAGAAACACCAAAACAAGCAAACACAGAAACTCATTATAAATGTCTAAAATGAGAAACATATGTTAGCAAACAAACATATAAAGCCTGATAAAATAAGAGTCAAATAAATAAGGGCCATATGGTCAAATAAATGACTTGTCTGGTAACAGACACTGCACACTGATTTAAAGGATTTGTCTTAATACAGTCCCAGCTGTTCATATGAGAAATCCCTCAGCTAATGTTCTGGACAAAAATCAACCGTAAATCTTCACTGAAGCTCATATGAACTTTTAGCAGTCGTTGATATTGATGTATTTTTAGTATCATCTTTTTACCTCCATCCTAAACAAAAAACCTCACGACTGCATTTAAATGTATGTATGTAAAGAACTCTTATAAGAGCGTTTGTATATATTTTAAAGTACATTCATTAAGAGTTTTCTAAGGAGAGCTTCAGTTCCAGCTGTAAACAGATGTGTGTGTTTGCTGCCTACCTTGACGTTGATCTTG